TTCTAATGTTATTACTCATAAGCAGTAGAGCTTCTGAGGTTGTTAGTCAGAAGTTGTAAGTTTCTGAGACTGCTTAGTTAGAAGCAGTAGTTTGACATATTCAGAAGTTGTTATTAGTCAAAAGAAGAAGTTTCTAAGGTTACGCCTATAAGTATGTTTAGCTTCTAGGCTTCTAGTTGTTTTGTTAGCTTAGCTATTAAGTTAACTTAGTCTTTAAATTTATCTTTTGTTAGGGCCTACGTGGAAATTTACTTTATGTATAAATAGAATAGTGATAGTTGTCATATTTTAATACTAATCTTTCTTACAGCTTTTGTAATCGTCATTGTAGAGCAATAAATATATTCTCTCATTCTTTCTGTTCTTCATCACCTTGTGCAGTTGGAATACATGAAGTGTCAATAGGCCAAACGTTTATGATTCCAAAAGATTTTGACACCACATATCCACTCAAAATCTTAAGGCAACGGAGGTATGAGTCACCTCTTTTATAAACCCAACATTTCTTCTATTATCGGTGTTGGACTTTAACACTTCGCACTTGAAATCCAACATAAACAAATCTTTCAAGTAACACTATGGATACTTAATGAGATATCGATATTTTTTTAGAAACAACAATTTTTAGCCTATAAAAAATGAGATAAAAGTAATTTTGATTCAACAAAAATGAGTAATTATTTTGTAGGGTGAGAAAAATATGTCCGTTACTCAAACTCAATTGAAGATGACAAAATGATAAATAAGACAAGAAATATTAATATCTTGTGTCATAGAGATAATTTTTTTTATGAAAGTCGTTGAAAAGAAGACCACATCAAAATATGGATAAAGTTAGAATTGATAATTACATGATCATTCCTTGGCGCATCAATTATGTTTGAAGCAACAACATTACTATTTAGAATGGTAGATTTAAAATATTTTTAAGTTTTTTTCCTAGATCTTTTGAACATTTTAACAAGCGTTTGGGTGATTAATTCAACAAATTGTTGGCTTTAACCGTAGGTTACCAATTGGTGGAAAAAATATTTTGTTTCATTTATCGATGAGTTTAGTCGAAAGCTGTGAATCTATGTGATCAAATGAAAGGACGAAGTATTTGAAATCTTTAAGAGATTCAAGATACTTGTCGAAAACTAGAGTGAGAAGAAGATCAAAGTTCTGCGAACATATGGAGGTGGCGAATACACATCCAAGATGTTTGAAGATTTCTGTGCAGAACATGATGTTGATCATAAGGTAACTGCTCCTTATACATCTCAACATAATGGAATTGCTGAAAGAAGAAATAGAACCATATTAGATATGGTGAGATGCACGTTGAAGCAAAAGAATTTGCCAAAGTCTTTATGGGGAGAAGATGTTTTGACTGCAGTTTATACTTTGAATAGGTGTCATACTAAGATATTAAAGAACAAGGTTCCTGAAGAAGTGTGGAGTGACAAACGATCATCAGTAAGTCATTTAAAGGTGTTTGGCTCTATGTGTTACAAGCATGTTCCTGATGCAAGGAGAAGGAACCTTGATGACAAGAGTGAACCTATGATTCTGGTAGGATCATAAAACTGGTGCATACAGCTATTCAATCTAGTTAATGAGAAGATTGTGTTGAGTCGAGATATTGTGATTAATGAAAATTCTGCCTGGGATAAGAATTCTAGCAACAAGCCATTAATGAATTTTGATTTCGACGAAGAAACTGATGAAGTAGAGATCGAAGGAATTGTTGAGAATCCAGTCAAATTCGAAGAAGAAGCAGTTGCTGACACTCCCGTCACAGTCGAAGTCGAAGAGGCTGTGGCTGAAACAAGCCAAAGACCTCAAAGAAATAGAGTTCTTCCAACAAGACTTCATGATTATGAAGTGGTGGGTGATGATGAAATCACACCATATGGAGAATTAGTTCATTTTGCTTTACTTGCAGGTGCTGAATCAATAACTATAGTGAAGCTTTGAAGATTAACAAGTGGAAGTTAGCTATGGTCGAAGAGTTACAGGCAATCAAAAGAAATAACACATGGGAGTTAGTCGAATTGCCAACACATACAAAAGCTATCGAAGTAAAGTGGGTGTTCAAGTTAAAACACAATGCAGATGGGTCAATAGCAAGACATAAAGAAAGATTAGTAGCTCGAGGTTTTCTTCAAAGAGAAAGACTCGACTACTCTGAAGTATTTACTCCAGTAGCAAGATTAGAGACTGTTTGACTAGTGGTAGCATTGGCATGCAACCAAGGTTGGTATACATTCCATCTAGATGTGAAATCAGTATTTCTGAATGGTCCCTTAGACGAAGAAGTTTATATCACGCAGCCTGAGTTTGTGATTCAAAAGGAAGCGAGTAAAGTATATAGATTTCACAAAGCGCTATATGGCCTCAAGCGGGCACCTAGGGCATGGAACAAGAAGATCGACTCATACTGAGTCGAATTGGAATTTGTTAAAAGAAAATCAGCGTATGGTGTCTATATTCAGGTTGTAGCACAAGATATAACAATCATCTGCTTGTATGTTGATGACTTTCTAGTAATTGGAAATAGTTTGGAGAACTTGTAGAAGTTCAAAGAGCTAATGATGAAGGAATTTGAAATATCGGATCTAGGAAAATTGTCTTATTCTCTATGCATGGAATTTCAAATGTCGAAGCAAAGTATGGTGCTACATCAAAGAAAGTATGTCAAAGAGATACTCAAGAGATTCATAATGGATGATTCGAATCCTGCATCCTCACCTGTCGAACCAAATGTGAAGTTGGAGAAGAATGGAGAGGAAGACAAAGTCGATGTAACTTCGTTCAAGCAAATTGTGGGATCTCCGAGGTATGTGTGCAACAGTCGACCTGATATAGGTTTCAAAGTCGGATTAGTAAGTAGATATATGGGTGAACCAAGAGTGTCACATATGAAGGTTGCAAGAAGAATCTTGAGATGTTTGAAGGGTTAAATAAATTGTGGAATACTATTTCGACGAGATTCTGAAGGCAAAGAAGCAATAGTTAATTGTTTTTCAGATGCTGATTGGTGTGGAGATAGGGAAGATCGAAGAAGCACAATTGGATATTTCTTTCAAGTATTTGGTGCCCCAATCTCATGGTGTTCGAAGAAGTAACCTGTGGTGGCATTGTCATCGTGTGAAGCTGAATATATAGCAGGATCATATGTTGCATGTCAAGCAATTTGGATCAGATGTGTACTTGAAGAAATGACTGTCGAAGTGAAGAAACCTCTAGTATTGAAAATCGGCAACAAGTTAGCCATAAATCTGGCGAAGAATCTAGTTCTGCATGGAAGAAGTAAACATATTGAAGCAAGGTTTTACATCTTGAGGGAAAAAGTAAATCAAGGTGAACTTGAAGTTAGGCATTGCTCAAGTGAAGTACAGTTGACCGACATTTTCACCAAAAGATTGAAGATCGACAGATTTCTGAATTTGAGAAAAAAATTAAGAATAGTTCAGATTGACTATTTTTGAGAATGTTCGACAACTTGAATTATGGAGTGTGTTGAAATATTAAATTAGATTAGATTAAATTTAATATTTAATATAATCCAAATTGTGTTAGCTCAAACCCAATTAGAGTTGTATATAAATAATCATAGTGTGTATCATTATTTGTACAATTCAATAATACAAATCCTTATTTCTTTTATTATTCTCTCTTTCTCTCCTCACTAAAAATGTCTTACGCACTAACAATCCCGACAAATGAGAGATGTAAATACACATACTAAAGACAGTCTTATAAAAATAAGAAGAGCATGATGAATATTTTATCAACAATCGATTCATCGATTCGTTGTTTACGAATTCACCTTAACATCATCCAATGTTCTCTCATTTATATTTTTTAAATATGATCTCCTCAAACTATTCAATATTGTCTTTTATACAGAGGAACAATAAATGAGTTTTTGCTAGGCAAATTGATGTTTTTTAGTGAATAGTTGTTTCGCCACCATTAAGTAATTCCACTTGCTTTTTTCAGAGTCATTAAATTGTCATAATTTCCTCATGTAACACTTTACTAAATAACTTTGCGTTTTCTTACTTCCCACATTCATGTCTCCAATTCACTCCACATCACTTAGAAATTCTTCACAATTCAAAATCTTTAATTTTTTGGTCATTACTCACGTATGGATTTAAGCGTATAAGGAGAGTCCAACCTAGAAGACCAATCCATTAAACAGAAGAACTTCATTATTTAAATAAGACATCATATTTTTATCTACCAAACAATGTGAGACTCCTAACATTGTCACACCTTTTAAGTGTTGAGGTAAGTGGAAAACCTTAATATTACTTTTTGTGGCTCAATCTTTAATAAAAACACCCATTATTAAGATTTAAGCACTTACAAAATGGTCCAACCCAAAAAAGATCTATTAGATAAAAGAATATCATTATTACTTAAATAGCACATTGAAAACTTTCAATTACTCTACAAATATAATTTCTCTCATATACCTTCCATGTACCCTCGCAATGGATTCTATAATAGGTGTCATCCTTCAATCATGCCATCGTTGCCAATTATTAACCGTCATGATATGCTAGATTTTACTGATTAATAAATGCTCTATGCTCCACAACAAGTATATATGCACCATTCTCTTTATCAATGTCTTGTAACCTTCCAAAAATAATGGTGCAACTACCCATTTGATTAAAGTTGGAAAGGAGTAGTTTCAGGCATTAAATTTTCTAACAATTAAATCGGTCCCATTCCAAAATATATATTGAACAAAGTCCCCACTTTCTTGATGTAAAACTATTCCAAAATTACTCTTTCCCCTATTAGTATTAACAATTTTCAATTCTTTGTAAATATTGAACAACGTGAAATTTCTATTTATATTGCCTAAGAGTCAGAACCATTAAAAATAATACTAGTGTCTAGAGTCTACACATGTAGATGTTTTTTAACTCCAATCTTGAGGCATTTTTTTAGATCTAAGTTTTGAAGCTAGAGAATAGAGAGTACTACTACACTCTAAAATGGTTTTGAATGATTGTGTCAATCATAATCATCATCATCATCATCATCATCATTCATCTGAAATGTCCTTTAGAATTACACAAGATAGTAGATTCTTCTCTAGGCTAATGTCCAAAGAAACCTCAAATGCAAACTCATCTTCAAGGAGAGTGTTCTATTATGGTGAAACATCAGTTGCTGTTCCTTTCACTTGGGAAGCTCAACCTGGAACACCTAAACATCCTTTGTCAGAAGCTTCTCTACCTCCTCTCACACATCCACCTTCTTATTCTACTACTAATAAGTCCAACGCTAAGAGAACAAACTCTAAACTCAACATGTTTTTGACCTATTTGGCTAGGGTTGTTGGTTCAAGGAAGTCTCATGTGTCGCCTTCTTTGTCGTCCTCATCTTGGCCGTCGTCCTCGTCTTCGTCGTCCTCTTCGTTTTCGATGAGAGACGGAAGCTTCTCGAGATCTCGCCGCGGCTCAAGGTCTTTGAAAAACAAGATTTCTAATGGGTTTAGAGGGTGCTATCCTTTTGGGAGTATGAAGAGTGCAACTGTAAGCCATGGTGCACTTTAGTTTAATCTTGAATAATACCTTTAATTTGGTTGTTGTTTAGATTATTTACATCTTGTAGAAATCTTTGAAATTTTAGTTGTTTATTTGCTTAGAATCATGTTTGTTGGGAGTTTTATGTGTCAAACATGCATAATATTGATGTCATTTCTCGTGATAAAAATTAATAATATGTGTATGTTATAAACTGATCATGAATGGATATTAAATACTGTCTTCCTGTTTAACCAAATGACTTGGAATTCAGCTTTGGACATGTACGAGTGTTCAATTTTTTTGACAAAGAGTTTTGCTCTATAGTGTAGTCTTCTTCGGCTTAAAAGATTAGTCTCTATAACCGTGTATAGATGATATTTTATTTTTATTGGAACCCTATTAATTATTTTCCCCGACTTATAATATATATTTTCTTTGAGATTTTCACACTTTTTAAAATAATGATTAATTATATTAATTTTAATGATAAAATGAATCTTATTTAATAAAATAACTTTATTAATAATACCTAATGAAATAGTTATATGAATTAAAATATAATAAATAAGAATAAATTAGTGTAAAAAAATAATAAATATTATATTTATATTCTAAAGAGATAAATAATTTAAAGCATATAAAATAGAAAATAAGCCAACTATTGTGAGACAGTGAATATGAGATAAGCATATTTGTAGTATAAAGTTAGAAGGAATCCTATTAATTATTCTACCATAACAGCTCATGAATATTGAATTCTTGTATAAAAAAGTATATTGCATGTTATACTCAATTAGCAATGACATTTAATTACCATTTAGTGTTGGTTGAAACTATAATAGAAATTGTTGAAATATGAGACTAGTAATATTAAATACACATTGCTAAAGTAATCGATTAATAAAGGATTAATACAATTTTATCGATGAGTTTTGCTTTATCCTTTGGTAAGAGTTTTTTTTTTTCGGATTATCTTTTGTAATATTTTTTTTTTGAATTACTCCTTTAAATATATATATGTTGCAGGGATAATTTGGGCATTTAGGTAAAGACATAAAATTTTATCATTTTAAAAGAATGATACAATTTTTTTTATAGAAATTAAAGCGAATTTCACTTATATATTTAATCCATTAATAAAAGGGAATCTATAACCTTATAGAAAATTTGATGTGATATGATATGAGCAATTATGAAACTTTGGATCATTAGGTGGTTTTCATGTGATAAATACACCTTTTGGTTTCTTGCTGCATTTCTGTAGAGATAGTACGCTGGCTGCTTGCTATTTGTCGACATTTCTTTTCTCGTATTGATTTATAATTGGTTAGATTTGGTTATTATTCTGATGGAGTATAATTCATTTTGAGCTATCTATGAATGAATGAACTTTGAAAGGAAAATATACAAATTGGATAAAAGGTGGTCGTAACATTTATCTTCACTCTAAAAGTATGTTTCTTAGTTGTTCATGCTCTTTTTCAGGCATTAAGAATCTTTAGGTGTTTGGATTTAGTTGTTACTTATTTTTGTTGTATTTTAAAGATGGTCAAATTTTAAAATAGGCATGATCGCAAATTTGGAAATTAGAAGTTTTTACAACAATATCATATTTTGCGATGCTTCATTATTTAGAGGGACGTTGATGGTGTTATCATGTTAGTTGATAATGTATTGGATAACTTTGAATAAGATGATTTGAATCATGGAAAATTTGATATTAAGAAAAAAGATAAAAAGATGAGTGCTAATGGTTAGCAAGTGACAGCGCAAAACATAAAGGCCAATTTATACATAGCAAGTGATTGTTACATAAGAAAAACCTAAAAATTAATGGGCCGGAGAAAAGGCGAAAGAGAAAAGAAGGAAAGGTTAATCGGACTTAGGACTAGTAGGCCTATGTATGTTAACACCCCTCTCAAACTGGAGTGGATGTTCAACAATCCTAGTTTGGAAACACGGGAATTGAAGGGACCAAGATGAAGGGACTTACCGAACACGTCTGCAACCTGATTTTCAAAGTTAATGGGCATGAGGTGAATGGTTTTGTTCAGGATTTTGTCGCGAACAAGATGGCAATCCATCTCAACATGCTTAGTTCTCTCGTGGAAAATTGGATTGGAGGCAATGTGAATAGCGCTTATGTTGTTGCGGTAAAGAGTAACCGGTGAAGGATGAGAAATGCAGAAGTTTGTGAGTAAATAGAGCAGCCATTATGCTTCGCATGACGTGTTGGCAAGTGCTCTGTATTCTGCTTCGGAGGAGGAGCGAGATACGACGACTTGCTTTTTAGTTTTTCAGCTGATGAAATTTTCTTCGAGGAAAAAATAGAATCTGGTGGTATATCTTTGTGTCATTGGACATGTACCCCAATTGGAATCAGTAAAGCCAGTCAGCTTGAAGCTGGATTTGCGCTTGAAATAAAGGCCAAGAGATGGAGCATTTTTGAGGTACTGAATGATCCAGTAAGATGCATTCAGGTGAGTTTGTGTTGGCTGCGAAAGATGTTGACTTAACCTGCAAATAGAACAAGTGTTATCAGGACGTGAATGAGTAAGGTAGTGAAGTTTACCTATTATGCTCTGGAATGTTGAAGGATCTGGAAGAGGTGATTCATCTGGAATGTTGAGTTTAGAATTTGGTTCAAGAGGGGTGGATGCAGGTTTGGCTGCAAGGAGGCTCGTGCCCTGAAGAAAATCGAGGCAATATTTTTGTTGACAAAGAGTAATTCCTTTGGAGGAATGAGCTATTTTGAAATCGAGGAAATATTTTAACAAGCCCATGTCTTTGATGCTGAATTGTTGATCCAAGGTATGTTTTATAAGGTTAATTTCTGACATGGTGGTTCCTACAATAATCAAGTCATCTACATATACAAGTATGACAGTAAAACAATTATTTTCATGCTTAGTAAAAAGGGAATAATCAGATTTCATGCTTAGTATGTGTAATAATGTAGAAGTTAATTTATGGTTCTATTGACGGCTAGCCTGCTTGAGGCTATAAATAGAATTTTTTAATTTACATACCATATTGACAGGAATTTGCATACTAGGGGGAGGTTTCATGTAAACCTCTTCTTCAAGGTCACCATGAAGGAATGTGGTATTTATGTCCAGCTGGTGAATATGCCAGTTACACGAGGCAGCAATAGATAGTAACAACCGTATGGTTGTCATTTTGATGACGGTACTAAAAGTATCAAGATAGTTGAGCCCTTCGGTTTGGTTAAAACCTTTTACCATGAGCCTAGCTTTGTAGCGTGCAATGGTGCCATTAAGATGGAATTTCAATTCAAAAACCCATTTGCTACCAATAGCTTGTTTGTTGGGAGGAAGGATGATAATGTCCCAGATGTTAGTAGCATTAAGGGACCGGAGTTCATTTTGAATGGCTTCTTTCTGATGGGGGTTCTTGATGGAAGATGCGTAGGATGTAGGTTTAGTGGTAATGGTGATATGGAGAGTAAAAAGCATGTGTTGCATAGATAAATTATGATATGATAAATAATTTACTAAGGGATACAAAGACTTACTTGTTGTGGACGATGAGGAAGGATGTGCAGTGCCTTGTAGTAGTGAGCAATGGTAATCTTGTAAGTAGGAAGGAGGCTTTCTTGTGCGGATAGATTTTCTGGATGTATGTATGAGGTTAGGAATATTGTTGGGTGGATGTAGAGGAGTGTTATAAATATGTGAAGTAGGTGTAGTAGAAGTAGTTTGGCTGTTTTTGGGAGTAACATGGGGGTTAGCAGGGTTTGGGATAGGTGTGTAATTGGATAAATCATCAGAATTTGGAGTGTATATAGGTTGAAGAGGTTGATAAGGTGGAGGTGTAGGCAATTGGTAGGGGAATATGTGTTCATAGAAAATAGTATCTCTTGAAATAAAGATATTCCTCGTCTTAATGTCATAAAGTATGTAGTCTTTTACCCCATGCTTGAGTCCCATAAATATACATTTGTTTGACCTAGAATCAAGCTTAGTTCTGTGTATATTTTGAGTGCAAGTGTATACTAAAAAGCCAAAGGTCTTAATAGTAGAATAATCAGGAATTGTATTATGAAGCATAGTAAATGGGCATTTATAAGCAATCAGATTAGAAGGTAAACATTAATAATGTGAACAATGTAAGATAAAGCATACGACCAGGATAATTTAGGGATATTTGACTGAAATAGGAGGGCTCTAGTGACATTTAAAAGATATTTATGTTTGCGTTTGTTGCACCCAAAATTTTTTCCTCTCACTTATCAAGAATTTTCTCACAAGATCTCTTTGGGCTCAAGACTGCACTAGGGTTTGATCAGCTCAAGATACCTCCTTAAGCACTGATGACCAAAATTAGGGTTTGAGTTTGCACAAAGATTTTTTGAACTATAAATGCTTCATATGGCTTTCATGGATCATTATGGACTCCCAAGATCACTCATGTCAAGTTTCAAGTCTTGGATCACACTTTTGATCAGTCAATTGAATAGTTGACCTAAAAATCAATTGTATTGGGGAAAAAGTCAACCATGGCCAATTTACAGTCAAACTTCATAATTTTTGATCCACATCAACATTTTAAACCCATATGTATCATTTGACCAAGTTTGGACCATAATTCCTCATTTTACCAAATCTCCAGAAGGGCAAAATGGTCAAAATTAGGGTTTTGGCTAGGAAAGGGGAATTCCTGATTTTTGACCTAGCAAATGATCAATTGGTTTAAGGAATGATCTCAAGATTCCAATTTCATCATTTTTACCTAATGACATGATTCAAAACATTGCAAGACCATTGGATTGACAGATGAATTTTGCAGTCAACTGATCAAAAGTCAACTGTATATTGAAAAGTCAAACTTTGACTTTTTGGTCAAATTCAAGTACCAAAGATCTTAATCCATCAAAACATGTCAAAATATGAAACTTATTCATCAAGAAATCAAGATTTCATTTTGAAAGGTCAAAATTTCTAAACTTAGAAATTTTTCTAAGTGTTGAAAATTTCTTTTTTTTTTCATAACTTTGAGCAATTTTT